CGGTTCGGTTCGGATCGGTTCTGGTTATCAACCGAATCAACACCAAATCGGTAAACTGAAAAATTACAAAAAAAAACCCAACTAATCTTAGGGATTTCGATTCCTCTTTCTGTGATCATCGTTTCATCTCCGGCGACTGGAGAGATCTGATTCCGGTAATACAAGAAACGGCGATTCATCGGTAATTGACTTGTCTCCGGTCTCTTGGGTCTCAATTTTGCTTCTCGTCTCTGAAAAATGTTTGAAATGACAGACTCGTAAAACTACTTGATTGTAGAGTACACTACTTTTGTCTTCTCTTTGAGCGACGAAGATGAGGTTATTGAAGGTTGCGACTTGTAACTTGAACCAATGGGCTATGGAATTCGAATGCAACATGAAGAACATCAAAGCTTCGATCGCTGAGGCAAAAGCTTCAGGTGCTGTAATCAGGCTTGGACCGGAGCTCGAAATCACTGGCTATGGCTGCGAAGATCACTTCTTGGAGCTCGATACAGTCACTCACTCGTAATGCTTGTTTTTCATTTCATTACAAAACCCGATTTAATGGCTTTAGAGATGTTGTTGAATCATGTTATGGTCTTTTTTCAGGTGGGAGTGTTTGAAGGAATTGTTGCTTGGTGATTGGACTGATGGGATATTGTGTAGTATTGGAATGCCTGTGATTAAAGGAGCAGAGAGGTATAATTGTCAGGTACTCTGTATGAATCGAAGAATCATTATGATTCGACCGAAAATGTGGCTCGCGAACGATGGAAACTATAGGGAGCTTAGGTGGTTCACTGCTTGGAAGCAGAGAGATAAGCTTGAGGAGTTTCAGCTTCCAATTGAAATTTCAGAGGCTTTGTCACAGAAATCAGTACCTTTTGGTTATGGTTACATACAGTTTATCGATACGTAAGTTTTTGGATATAATGCTAATTCCATTTCAATGGTGTCTATGAGGTTCTAAACTGTATCAACCATTGTATTTCGTTATCAGAGCTGTTGCAGCTGAAGTCTGTGAAGAACTGTTTAGTCCAGTTCCTCCTCATGCCGAGCTTGCATTGAACGGAGTTGAGGTGTTTATGAATGCAAGTGGGAGTCATCACCAACTGAGAAAGCTAGATATTCGTCTGAATGCTTTCATGGGGGCTACTCATGCTCGTGGTGGGGTGTATATGTACAGTAATCAACAGGGATGCGATGGTAGCCGCTTATATTACGGTATTTTCAAAGAACCTTGAAGGATTGAAATTGTTATTTTTAATCAACGTTATTTACTTTTTGGTGAGTGATCATCTTAATTTGTTCATTTTTAACGCAAGTGTAGATGGATGTGCATGCATTGTTGTAAACGGGGATGTTGTCGCTCAAGGCTCACAATTCTCGTTGAAGGACGTTGAGGTCATCATTTCCCAAGTGGATCTTGATGCGGTATTCCACAGTTACCCTTTGGCTTTACTTTCTTCTGTTTCATGGTATATAAATGAAACGTTCATTTTGCTTCTTTGGCCTGTAAAAGGTTGCTAGTCTTCGCGGATCTATAAGTAGTTTCCAGGAACAAGCAAGCTGCAAAGTTAATGTACCTTCAGTAGCCGTACCCTATAAGCTGACACAGACTTTCAATCTAAAAATGACGCTGAGCAGTCCGAAGAAGGTTCTCGACCCTCCGCTGCTTCACATGTTTAACATTTAAAAACTTTCCAATTCTAATGTATATTAGTATGTAGATCATATACCACTCTCCACAAGAAGAAATAGCCTTTGGTCCTGCTTGCTGGCTTTGGGACTATTTGAGAAGAAGTGGCGCTTCAGGGTTTTTGCTTCCCCTTTCTGGCGGAGCAGACAGCTCCTCCGTGGCAGCTATTGTTGGTTGCATGTGTCAACTCGTTGTTAAAGGTACGCGGCCGGTTTCTGGCTATGTATGTTGAACTCTGTTTGTGTCTTATAACTGTGAAGCCTCTCAGTTGATATCTTTCTTCTTGTGTAGAGATTGCAAATGGAGATGAGCAAGTGAAAGCTGATGCGAACCGAATTGGGAATTATGCGAATGGGCAGTTTCCCACTGATAGCAAAGAGTTTGCCAAGCGAATATTTTACACTGTGTTTATGGGGTCTGAAAACAGGTAAATTAGTCAACACTAGCAAACAGGATATTGGTTATGTCACATCTGTGCGTGATTTTTGCAGCAAACATGAAAACTTTTTCCCCATGTTGAAATCTCGACTTGTGCAGTTCTGAGGAGACAAAAAAGCGTGCAAAGCAGCTGGCTGACGAGATTGGTGCATGGCATCTTGATGTTTGCATAGATGGCGTTGTCTCTGCAGTTTTATCTTTATTTCAAACGGTTACAGGCAAGCGACCTCGGTATAAGGTAAAGTGAGAAAATATACACAAATAATTGGAACAATCAAAATTTGATCTTATATGGGAAAGAGAAGAAAGAGTTGATGAAATGGTTATTGGTTTTGTGTATTAGGTTGATGGAGGATCAAACGTTGAGAACCTTGGGTTGCAGAACATTCAAGCACGGATGAGAATGGTTTTAGCATTTATGTTAGCGTCACTCTTACCTTGGGTTCATAGCAAACCAGGCTTTTACCTTGTTCTAGGCAGCTCTAACGTTGATGAAGGACTTCGTGGTTACCTAACAAAGGTAATGACGGGCTTATCTCCTTTTGCTGCTACATCTCAAATCATTATCCCATAGATTGTTAATAATAACTTAATTCTTTTGGTTGAAACAGTATGATTGTAGCTCAGCAGACATAAATCCAATAGGAAGTATCAGTAAAATGGATTTGAGGTTGTTCTTAAAATGGGCTGCAACGCATCTTGGATATCCATCCTTGGCAGAAATTGAAGCTGCTCCACCAACAGCCGAGCTCGAGCCTATTCGTTCTGACTATACTCAGGTAATAACATAACAAAACGGTTTGTTACTATATTAGCTGAAAATTAACGTAATCATCAATTCAAACACCTCTTTGAATTGTGAAAACAGCTCGATGAAGTGGACATGGGAATGACATATGAAGAGCTTTCAGTCTATGGAAGGATGAGGAAGATATTCCGGTGTGGCCCAGTTTCCATGTTCAAGGTTTGAGTTCTGATCTTTAAACAGTGTTACTAAATCATTGATACAGAGAAACTGAAACTTGTATGTAATGATTCTGCAGAATCTATGTTACAAGTGGGGAACAAAGCTAAGCCCAGCAGAAGTAGCTGAGAAAGTGAAGTACTTCTTCAAATATTATTCGATCAATCGCCATAAAATGACTACCCTCACACCGTCTTATCACGCCGAGGTAACAACTACTGATCTGAAAACATGTTTGGAATCTGTCAATAGAGAAACAAAACTCAATTCAAGTTTTATTTTTGTTGCAGAGTTACTCTCCAGAGGACAACAGATTCGATCTGAGGCAGTTTCTTTACAACAGCAAGTGGCCGTATCAGTTTAAGAAGATTGATGAGATTGTTGACGGCTTAAACGGCGATACAGTTGCTTTCCTGGAAGAAGCAAACTCCGGGAAAGAAATGGGAGTCGTAGCAGCAAACTCCGGCGACCCAAGCGCGGGTCTATGATGAACTCTCTTCCCTAAAAACCTTTTTGTTTCAAACCAAATTGCAAGTTTGGAACAGTTAAAAGGAACAAATAACATGTTTGTATCTCAGAAATATATAAAGTTGGTGTTGAAGAGAACGCCATAACACAACAGTAATTAGTTGCAAATTGCAATAAAGTTAATGTGCTTTTGGAAAGCGTCAATTTTTTTTTTTTGGTTTGTTGTCACAAAACGTATTCTCTTTATCTATTACACAAATATGCATTACTTGTATAAAAAAGCGTCAATATTTTACTTAAATGAACCACATTAAATTCGTTCGATATTGCTAGTTTGAAAAATATAATAGTATTATTGAAAGATAAAAAAATTTGTTTAAAACATAAATGCAATGTGGTGCATAAATCTGAAATCAAATTTTATCTTTATTCTAAAAAGTCAATGCTTGATTTGTCTACATGAAAACAAATCATATCAGCAAATCGGACATATTTTTTTAGTTAATTTTTTTTATCTTTATTGGAAATGTATATATACGTTATATATTATTCAAAATTTCTCCCTAAATATTTGATCCTTTTTTTTCTATTTTTGGTATGGAATATTTTACTAAACATTTGACCCATAGACAAGAATCAAAACACAATAAATCATGAGAAATTTCAAAAATACCATTTTTCAAGTGCCACTTTACAAAAATGCCACACTTTTGAAATCTTTACAAAAATGCCACTTTTTCAAAATTATTTTTTCTTTATATCATTTATGTTTGGGTTAATTATGTTCTATTAGGGTTTAGTTATGAAGGTTTAGGGAGTTTTAAGGGTCAAACCATTTTTTAGGGTTTAGGATATAGGTTTTATAAATCTATAATTAGTGGCATTTTTGCAAATAGTCACCCCTAAGTGGCATTTTTGCAAATGTGCACACAAAAAGTGGCATTTTTGTAATTGTCCCATAAATCATTCCGATATAAGAAACCGGTCTCTCTCTATCTATATATATATAAGCATGTCCTTGCTCTGTAATATCTTCACACCACCAATACAACAAACAAAATGGAATTGTCAAAACTTCAATTTGTAGTAATCCTTGTCATATATTCTCTCCTAATTACTTCCCAATCAAAAGGTAAAT